CTCTGAGTCTGACAGGCCCAGGGCGGCCTGCGGGCGAGAAACGCGGAGGAGCCGTGTCCGCCTCTGACCCGGCCCCCAGGACGCCGGCCGGAGGCCCACGGAGACCCGTCTGCCGCCCGAGAAAACATCCTTTTTCTAAAACCTCGGGCTCCGCCCTCCAGGCCTCCACTGCTCGGGTGGGCGAGGAGGGCTCTGCGTCAGGCACAGTCTCCTGGTTTAAACGTTAGTCACACAAAATATGTAAAAATAAACTTCAGTCACAGCTTAAAAAACTACCTTCCTGCCCTGGCCGGTGTGGCTCAGTGGACAGAGTGCCGACCTGTGGACTGAAGGGTCCCGGGTTTGATTCTGGTCAAGGGCACCTGCCTGGGTTGCAGGCTCCTGTCCCTGGTCGGGAGCACGTGAGAGGCAACCAGTCGATGTGTCTCTCTCTCATCGCTGTTTCTCTCTCTCCCTCTCCATTCTGCTCTCTAAAAATCAGTGGAAAAAACATCCTCAAGTGAGAATTAAAAAACCACAAAAAAACAAAAACAAAAAAACACACAACAAAAAGTACCTTCTCCACAGCATCCAGACGTGTCTGACAGACGACTGGGCACTAGAGCCCAACTAAACTGACACCTAAGATTAACCGCCACCCCCGCCTGTGAGGTTAACGCCCCCACCTGTGAGGTTAACCCCCACCTGGGAGGTTAATGCCCCCACCTGTGAGGTTAACGCCCACCTGTGAGGTTAACGCCCCATCTGTGAGGTTAACCCCCACCTGTGAGGTTAACGCCCTCACCTGTGAGGTTAACCCCCACCTGGGAGGTTAATGCCCCCACCTGTGAGGTTAACGCCCACCTGTGAGGTTAACGCCCCATCTGTGAGGTTAACCCCCACCTGTGAGGTTAACGCCCTCACCTGTGAGGTTAACCCCCACCTGGGAGGTTAATGCCCCCACCTGTGAGGTTAACGCCCACCTGTGAGGTTAACGCCCCATCTGTGAGGTTAACCCCCACCTGTGAGGTTAACGCCCTCACCTGTGAGGTTAACCCCCACCTGGGAGGTTAATGCCCCCACCTGTGAGGTTAACGCCCACCTGTGAGGTTAACGCCCCATCTGTGAGGTTAACCCCCACCTGTGAGGTTAACGCCCTCACCTGTGAGGTTAACCCCCACCTGGGAGGTTAATGCCCCCACCTGTGAGGTTAACGCCCACCTGTGAGGTTAAACCCCACCTGTTCCTCACCAGAGAGAATTGCCCCCTCCCTGAAACGCCCAAGGCACTGAGCTGCATTCATCAGTATCTACAACGAGCTGCTTAACAGGCTAAATTGCCACAATGTATTCATGGGTCCCCAAGTGAAAGGGAACATTGAGCTACAAGAGACTCGTTCGTAGTAACATGTCTGATCGGGGAAAAAGAGCCCTAAACGCCCTCCCCCACAGGCAGGCTCCCGGGAGCAGAGAGCCGTCACCAGGCCCAGGCCGTGTCCGTGGCGTGTCACCTGCCGGGTGGGATGCGGGGCGGCCGGCCGAGGGGGCAGCCGGCCGCGCTGCCTTAGCTCTGGGGAGAGGGCCGTCTCAGCTGCCCGGCCGCCAGGTGGGCAGAGGTGAGGGACACCCCAGCCGTGTGCCCCAGGAGCGACCAGCGAGTCCCGCACCTCGTCCCCTCCCAGGTAACAGGCGTGTTCAGAAGTCACCCCGCCTCCCTCCTCCGGCCTCTGGGTCGGGACAAGGGACCCCTCCCTGGTCCTCAGGGGAGCATCCCTGTGCCGGGCCGGCCTGTGCGCCCAGGTGGCCGGGGCCGATCTGCTCAAGGCCCCGAACACCGAGGGCCACCTGGTCTGTCTGGACACGCGGCTGGTAAAGCGCCCTGGGACTCGGACCTCTTTCTGCAGAAGGGACTCCATTTCTTTCCCTTTTTAAAGAATTATTCCAGAGAAGAAGGGAGAGGGAGAGAGAGAGAGAAACATCCATGAGGAGAGAGAATCACAGATCGGCTGCCTCCTGCACGCCCCCCACTGGGGACTGAGCCCTGCAACCCGGGCACATGCCCTGACCGGGAATCAAACCGTGACCTCCTGGTTCATAGGTCGATGCTCAACCACAGATCCCACCGGCTGCGGGGGTTAATCTTCACCTGAGGACATTCTCACTGATTTCAGAAAAAGGGAAATGGAGAGAGAGAAAGAGAAATATCGATTGATTGCCTTCCCTTGCATGCCAGGAACTGGCCCCACAACCTAGGTATGTGGTCTGACCGGGAATCTAACCCACAACTTTTT